CAATACAATGGAACATTGTTATGTCATGTTGCGACAACAATTAATAATGTTTGTGATTATTATATTCCATTGACGTGTCATAAACAAGGGTTTCTTTATAAAATTAAAGAATTCTTGCAACGAATAATTAACATGCAATTTGACGTTTGCGATCATTCATCGAAAAATGAAAATGATATTAACATCTTGGTTGATAATTGTGTTCGAAATTATTTTCAATTTTTATTGAAGATTGTGAAAGGCCAAATCAATCCACCAGAAAATTCTGATAGGTTGCAATTATTAGTTCACGTAGCGAGCCAAAAATATAAAAAAAATAAAAATGATTTTCAAGCTGAAAGGAAACCTACAAAGCGCAAATTAAATAATCAAGAGAATCTCCCAGCAACCAAGAAAAAGCGATAAAAAATTATTTTCATTATTTTTGAATTAGCTTTAATTATGTTTCTACATTAAAAAATTATTATCTTTTAAAATTCATTCTAAAATTTTTATATTTTTAAATGAAATAAACATTTTCTTAAACACGAAATTTCAATATTTTCTTTCCTTAATTCAGTTTCACTAATTTTCTGATTTATCCACAATTTCAAGATTAAAATTTAATTTTTAAATCTGTTTGTATCCTTCGATTTTCTTTAAAAAAATTCCAAAAAAACTACTTCCCTTTACGCAAATTTTAAGCCTTGTCCCGTTGTGGGTATATGATTTTTACTATTTTCTCAGAATTTTTTTAAATTATGGAAATTCAGTAGCTATTTTCTCGAAAACTTGTTTTTGTACATAAGCCCCCTTTTCCTAGACCAGGTCACAAATAAATATTAAAATATGGGTGATTCTCCGCGTAGCGCAGAACTTGGTTTTTTTCATGTTGTAATGGAAAAATAATAAATAACTTTCATATATTTTTACAATTCCAACGTAAAAAGGTTATCTATATGTTTAGAAACAAAAACCAATAATTACTTTTGTATCTAATATTATAATTTTTCATAAATAAGCGGTTTTAAGGCTGAAAACGTCAAATTTTTACCTGTCCCCATAGGAAGTTTAGAAAAAAAAGTTAATAATTTTAGTAATATGCAATAATAAATACAATTACTATTGACATTTTAGTATTGTCTACTTTAGTACAGTTGAATAAAAAAAATTTTTTTTTTAAATTCATTTTATATATGTTTTTTTCAGTTTATGCTTGACAGCAAATTTGGATGCTATTTATTATTTTATTAACAAACAGTGAATTATTTAAATGAAAATGAAATGTTAACTTAAAATTACTTTTGTAAACACAAGAAATAACTTCCTTAAGTTAATTCAGGAAAAAGAATCAATGTTCTAATTGATTTATTCATTTTTCACTCATTTTATGTTGGGAATTTGAAAAGGGAATCACAAAATAGTCTCCACCGGCATCCACCGACCCTTAAATATTTTATTACAAATTAAACAATTATTTATAAAAAAGGTTAAATGAAGCGTAGTTATATTGTTTTAGTCAATACAAATGAAGTCCATTTGAAACCGATTGAAAATTAATGATATTTTTTTTAAAAAAATAAAAATAACTGAAGGCGATTGAAAAAAGTTTCCACCGACCTTAGTCTCCACCGGCATCAGAATTTCCACCGACCTTTGTATTACGAAGAACCTAGTGCAAATGTAGTGTTATGGTGCCACATATATAAGGAATAAAAAAAACCTATTGCTCAGAAAAATTTACCATAAATTAATTAAATAAATTTCCATAAATTACCACGAAAATTTTTATAAATTACCGCAAAAATTTCCATAAATTACCGAAATAAAAATTTTAAATTGTGATTTCTACTTTGAATATTTTTAAAAATTACCGACAAAATTTCTTTAAATTACCTTACAAATTGCCATAAATTTCCATAAATTACCGCGAAAATTTCCATAAATTACCAAAATCCAAATTTTTAATAATAATTTAAATTTTACATATTTTTATGAATTATCGCAAAAATTTCCATAAATTTCCAAAAATTTCCATAAATTACCAAAATCCAAATTTTTACTAATAATTTAAATTTTACATATTTTTATGAATTATCGCAAAAATTTCCATAAATTTCCAAAAATTTCCATAAATTACCAAAATCCAAATTTTTACTAATAATTTAAATTTTACATATTTTTATGAATTATCGCAAAAATTTCCATAAATTTCCAAAAATTACCATAAATTTCCATAAATTACCATAAATTACCGAAATAATAATTTTTAAATGAGATTTATGATATAATATTGTTTAAATTACCGAAAAATTTTTTTTGACAGAATGTGTCCAAACAGTGAATTAGTTAATTACTACACTTGTTTACAACAAAAATTATAAATAATTTTTCCGGCCCGCTATGGATTTTTCTTTCTAAAGCCTTTATCTTCAAAAAAATATATTGATATTAATCATAACGAAAAAAAAAATTTTTTTAATTTCATAAACCAAATCGTGCGCTACGCGGAGAATCACCCATATATATGTATTAAGTTTTATATTTTAATGCGATAAAATTTAAACCCTTTCAAGTTATTCAAAAATTTTATAATACATTGTAATATCTGTTTTAACAATATCAAATTGATCTTTTTTAACAAAAAAGATTTAATTTTGTTATTAGAAGCTCATCAACTTTAAAACTTCGAAACGCTACTGTGAATATAATATCAAATTTATTGAATTTATTCGCATCATAAACAACTCAACGTCAGATGGTGCAGCATATAAACGCAAAGTAGTTTAGATCGAATACAGTAACTCTTTTCTCAATTCACGCGATGAGACAGTTTTAATATATTGAATTCTGTTTGGAAAATAAGAAAGTGAAAACAAAATGTTTGCTGAATTTAAGGAAAATTTATCTCAAATTTACAAAATCGTTAAGAAAACTGAATATTAAATGAATAATTACAAAAATTATATGTAATTAAAATGTTTTACAATACTTTTAATTTCCTTCTTTTTATGACAGTTTTTAGGTCTTTAAGATATCATTTAAAGGATCAAATTTGGACATCTTTGGAATATTTTTAGGACGTCTTAATCACTATGTCCCAAGAACTTTCCTAAAAGAATATCCTGGAGACATCTTACAAATTTTTGTATCCACTAGGATTAATAGTGTATTCACAAAAAAATTGAGAAGGTAAAATTTCATCAAAATAGTTGACTTCTTAACCCTGTCGACAGGGGTGGCGCGAAAACTATTTTAAGTCAGGCACAAACAAAAATTGATTTCTCAAAAAATCTACTAGCCACTCTCTAAATTTGAATTAGTAAAAATGTTTACTAATTTGAATTAGTGACTGCCTTTTTGCTTTTGAAATAGTAAACTTCACTAATAAATAGTAACTTTTACTAATTCAAAAGCAAAAAGTCAGTCACTAATTCAAATTAGTAAACATTTTTACTAATTCACATTTAGAGAGCACCTATTACGGACTAGGCACAACTAACATTTGTTATCGAGTGACTCGAAGTCAGATGATACATTGTACAAGAAGATAATGTCAACCGCTGTTTACTCTGCATCGTTAAAGTAGAGTACAATATTGTTTTCAGACCAAAGGACCTTCTTAAAATAATATAGAAAATTTAATCAATTAATAATAAACATAAATAATCAATTTTTGAGAAATTTTTTTCCTTTCTATTCAATTTTATAGATTTTTAGAACTAGAGAAAAACTCTGGCAAAGTATGGGCAAAGACTGAAATCAATTTTTGTTAAATCTTTTCATTTCTATTTAAGTTTATTAATTCCTGATGATTTTAAGCATAAAATGAAAAAAATCGATTGGGCCGTTTTTAAGAAAACTAATTTTGTATATTTTTGAAAGAGGTTAATCAACATATTTTTGGGTGATTCTTTCAAAAAGGACAAATTATTATTTGTGCACTATTTCAGACGGCGTTTTTGTTATAAAATAGTAAAATAACTTAAGGTAATTAAAAATTGGCCAGCCATATGTTGTGATTTTAAAGTTTTTAGTTAAATCATAAAGAAAAATTAAAAAATAATTATCAAATTACTGAAATATTAAATAAATATGATGTTAAAACTCCACTCCGTACCTTTAGCGATATGATTAAAAATTATTAAATGCTATGGTATGGCTGTCATAAATTTTAATAGTTTAAATTAATATAATTAATTTCTAACAAAATACCATAAAGGCATGATTTGACCCTTTTTGTGAGAATCACCCTTTGACTAAAATGAGTGCTACTATAATCGCTACATCCACTCGACTCATTAAAAATGATATCAGAAAATAGGTCCTAGGTGTTGAGTATCTTTAAGTAAGTTTACACCAGAAAAATTAATGAAAAACAGTGAAAAATAAGTAAAAAAATTTTTAAACAGAATTGAATTTTTACGAAGAATTTTATTACTTTTAAAAATAATTGTATTTCTGCAATTATTTGTAATTTCTCTAAAATTCTCCAAATTATATCGTACAATTTACGAACTTTTCATCCTTTTCTAATGAAATTACGGACTTCACATACCTTTTTTTTAAAAAAACGGACTTTTACGGACTTCAAGTAAAGTTACGGACTTTTATGGGATTTAAGGACCTAGTTCGAGCCCTGCATTATTGATAATCAGCAGACGGTACAAAAAAAAATAATTTTTAAATTTGAAAACAAAATTACTACTATTTGCAAAATAGAAAAAAAAATTGAAAATTGCAATAAAATTAACAATTTTCTCAATAGAGGAATATAAATAAACAAAAATAATAATAACAAATTAAGTGGTAATACACCGGATGTAAGTAAAGAAGAAAATCAGTGGAAGTCTTCCTTACCAATAGATGTTCTTCCTTACCACACAGTGATAATAGAGAAAACATTGAAGTCGCCTAAAAGTATGACGTGACCTTGTCGAGATGTCTCTGAACAAAAATAGTGTACGCTTTCACAAAGGGCGGGATTGCTTTGCTTTGAATTGAATGGGAGGCTGTTCGGCAGGTTTGTTGTTAGACCGGCCGGCACTTGGCGAACGACCGTTGTGTCGCTCGCTTTTACGTCATCGAACCGGGTCCTATATTTTTCCATCCTACATGCATTCTTAGAAGTGAAAACACGGACCCCCCTCCCAAAAAAACGAGCAAAAAAATGTCGAAACGTGTTGTGAAATTTTTTACAAAAAGGAAGTAACCCTCAGCATTACTTCCTCCCCAAAGAAAGAAGCTAAAAAGAAATGGAAGTGATCAAAATCTCACAAATATCGCGTCTAATTAAATTGAAAATTACGTGAAAAAATTAAAAATCGTGTGTTTATATTTATTTAATTTTTTTAAATTTTGTTTTGCCAAAACGAGTGAAACGCGGCGCGTCTAGAAAAAAAGAGAGAAAAAAATGTTGCGCAACCGGTTTTGAGCCTTGGGGATCCTCGGAAGAGGGACCAAAGGATTCTCTCTTTCTGAACCAGTGAAATTTGATGGTGATTATGGTGACTTAGCATCATAGTGAGTGAATTTATTTTGTTCTGTTATGTGTGAATGTGTGGTAATAATATTGTGGAAAAATGCCGTTCGTGATTCGAAAGATAGAGCCTCGTTACGTGTGTCGAGGCCACGTGCCTCAAGGTACAACATCAAAGGATTGGCCGGTTGGGGCCGAATTGGAGGCTGTGGCGAACGGAGCACTCACCTCATCGCTAAAACAATTGGGCTCGCTATTGACAGCGGCTGAGGATATTTTTGCCGATTTAACGGCCGAATTGACAGCAGTCGCCGAGAGAAGTGGTAAACTACGACAAAGATTGGACAAGGTCGAGGAACATCTCAATGCCACTGATCCGAAGAAAATTCCAGTTCGTGAGTACCAGTTTGTCATTATATATATAAAGCGTAATTATCCTCTCACATGTAAACAAGAACCACATTCTCCCATTAATGATAATTGACATCAGTCAGAACTTTTCTAATGCAAAAAAGTTACATTTTCTTTGATTTCTTGCGAAAACGATTTCCTTCGCAAGTTTTTTTTTCTTCCGGTAATTACCATTTCTCAGATAGTTTTTCATAATCTTTATTTATTTATGTATTTAATATTTTTAATTACATAATTCTGAATTAATTTATAAATTTCTGAAAATATTTATTTATTTATTTATTTATTTACAACAATAGATTCCGTGGTTCCTCTTAGAGCGTGGGATTTTTTACGCCGAACAAATATTTCGATACAAGAAAGAAAATAAAGATCCTTTGTCAGAATTGAACTGAAAAAGGGAAATTTGATCAACCCTAAAAGTTTCATTAAAGGAGATTTATTTTTCCGGGAGATCTAAAGGAATTAGGGTGTTATCGACATTACATTAAATTTGGTTTAAAATCAATTTGGTTAAATATAAGTTTAGTAGAAAATAAATTTGACTGAAATTAATTTTAGCCAAAAATTAAATTTGCCTAAAGATAAGTTTAGTTAGAGATACATTTGACTAAAAATCAATTTGACTAAAGTGATACTCAGCTAAAGATAACTTAAAGTTAAAACTAAATTTAGCTAAGACTAAATTAGACTAAAATTAAATTAGGCTAAAACTAAAGTAGACTAAAAAAATTTGGCTCAAAGTAAAGTCGACTAAAAATAAGCACTACAAGAAGATAACTTTAATTAACAATAAATTTTGAAAAAATGAAAATTTGGATAAATATAAATTCGGTTAAAGATGAATTTAGCTAAAAATAACATTAATTTAACGTAAATTTTGGTGAAAAATATTTTTAATAAAAGATAAAGTTAGCTAAATGTAAATACTGCTAAAAATAAACTTAGTAAAATTTATTTTAAAAAAATCAATAAATATTACTAAAGATAACTTTGACTGTCAATAAACTTTGCTAAATTTAAATTTTAATACCAATAAATTTTTGCGAAATGTAAATTTAGCTAAATATTAATTTACATAAAGGTGAATATATGTCTGGTTATTGGTTATATTTGGTTAAATATAAATTTAGTTAAAGATAAGTTTTGCTAAATATAAATTCAACTGAAAATTACCTCTGCTAAAGAGAATATCGGTTGTCAATCAATTTCATCTCAAGTAAATGTCTCTAAGAACAAATTCAGTTAAAGATAAATCTGGCATAATATAAACTTGACTAAAACTAATTTATTTAAAGATAAACCTGTCGAAAGATAAATTTTGCTAAAGATAAATTCGACTAAAAGTAAACTGCTTATAATAACTTCAATAAACAATAATAATTTTTGACAGAAAAATTTGGTTAAATTCAAATTTAGTTAAAGATAGATTTGGCTATAAATAAATTGTCCTATAGAGAAATTTAGTTAAAGATCAATTTTGTTAATGAAAAATTTGGCTAAATGTAAATAAAAAAAACAAATTCATTTAACGATGAATTTGGCTAAAGATAAATTTAACTAAAGATAAATTCGACTAAAACTAAATTCTGCTAAAAATAAAGATGATAAACCATTAATTTTGTCGAAAAGTAAAGTGAGCTTGATATGAATTCACATGAAGGTTAAATTTTCTAAAAGTAAATTCAGTTAAAAATAAATTCGGCTAAAGAAAAATTTGGCTAATAATAAATTTTGCTGAAGATAAATTTAGTTGAAGTTAAATTTTTATCAAAATTAAATTGATTGAAAGTAATCTTTGCTGAAAATAATTTTGGTTAAGTTAAGAATAAATTTTGCTAAAAGTAATTTCGAGTAAAGATAAAATCTGCAAAAGAGATCTTTTGTTTAACAATAATTTTGCTGAAAGTAAATTCGATTGAAGATAAAGTCTGCTAAAAAAATCTTTGATTAACAATATTTATTGCTAAAATAAATTCGACTAAAGATAAAGTCTGCTAAAGAGAACTTTATTTTACAATAAATTTGGTTTGAAGTAAATTCTGTTAGAAATAAACTCAGTTATTTAATAATAATTTAGTTAAAAGTGATTTTTGCTAAAACGAAATTCGACTGTAGATGAACTGAAATAAGGATTAATTCGCTTAATAACAAGTTTGTCTAAAAGTAAGATTTTCCTAAAAACAAATTCAGTTAAAAAATATTCAGCCATAATCTGGCTAAAGTTAAATGTAACTAAACTTAAATAAATGTTAGCTCAAGATAACTAAGTTTTAGCTAAAGAAAAATTGGACTAAAAATAAACTTTGCTAAAAACAAACATTACTAAAAATGAACTTTACTAAAAATATATTTCTTTATTTGTTCATTTACAAAATTGGATTCTGTGGTACATCATATACCACTTCATTATAAAAAAAATATTCCAATACAAGAAAGAAAGTAAAACTTTTTTCGTCAGAATTTAACTCAAAGAGGGAAATTTAATCATAACCTTGAAAAAGTTTCATTAAAGGAGACTATTGTTTTTCCTGGGAGATCTAAAGAAATTTGTGGTGTCATCGACATTATACAGGGGGGGGGGGATATACACTCTATCTTTTTCGAGTTCACTTTATCTTCATACTGATTTTTAAGGATAGTGCTTTTGTCTCCCGAGAGAAAATAGCGTTGTTGCTTTACGTATACGCAAGAGTGAGAGAAAGAAAGAACAAGAGAGGAGAATTCTTTTTCATCCAGAGAGGAGAAGAGGAGACTAATCCTCATCTCTTCTCTCTTTGGCAAAACTCGCTTTCTGTTCGACCACTATTACTATGTATATAGTAGTTGAAACTTGTTCTTTCGTTTCCCACGGTTCGCCAGGTAAACGTTTTTCGTTTCTTTCTGTGTACCGCTCTCAGCATCTTTTACGTGAGCACACTTTGGTCCTCAAGTCATCGCGAGAGAAACACTCTTTCACGCTCTGTCGCTTTTTTTTACCACCCAAAGTTCATCTTTCGCATTCCATTGCAAAACGGAAATGAACATTTCAAAAATTATTGCTTTTGTGAATTATAAAATCGACAAAAAACAGGATATAATTATGCCAAATAGTTTCGAGAATAAAGAATAAGATTGGAATTTTTGTTTTAAATCTTGTTGCAGAATTTGAAGTGAAAAAGAAACGTGCAACTTGGTTTGTGATATTTTTGAGAAACATTCTGCATTTTGAAGGAATGTGGAAATAAATAAACAATTGTGGCATGCTCTGAAAAAGGTACCTTGTGAGGCAAATTATTTTAAAGATATGTTCGAGTTATTTTTACTTTAATTAATTTTATTCTAAATATTACGAACACAACCCAACATTTGTTGCTCCTTAGGCACCTTTCTTCGGAGCACGTCACAATTGTTGAATAAATGTTACAACTTTGTCAATTCTGAAGCATTTGAATAAAAAGTTTCTAATTCTTTACTTTCCAAATTTTTGACAAATTTTGAAAGAATAACGATTAAAATTTATCAGTTTGTGTTGTAAATTTTTCTAAATTTCGATTTTCCTAAAATTTTCTTAAAGTACAAATAAACAAAATTCATTCATTTCTTCTTCGAATTAAAATTTTATTACCGTATATTTTTAATGAAAAATATTTTGTTCATTTGAACGTCGAATACTTGTGGATGATGAATTTTCTGAATTCTGAAGAATAAGAAATGTTCAGATGTGAACAAAAGGTATTAATTACATGCAAGGACAAAGTAGTGTTGAAGAATTTGTATAAATGCGTTTTAAAAAGCGAATGCTGAAAAACTAGAGCAAAATTAGAAACAATTTTACGTTTTACTGATAAAACAAAAAAAATTTAAAGAAAACTTTCCTAAAGATAGACGATCTATTTGTGTATTTGTTGTTAATTTCTGAGAAAGATTTTGCAGAATTTAAGAATTAGAATCTAGTGAATGAAAAACTATATTTAACAATTCGTACAAAGTTTAAGAACAACAAACCAAAAAAATTAAATAATAGAAAATTTTGACAAGACTCTCATAAAGATTACGGATCAAATTTATCTCTTGGCGTTGTAAATTTTTTTGGAAAGATTATAAAGAATTTGTAACGTTTACTTTAGAATGAAGAATATTCAAAAATTCCTTACAAAGGACGAAAAAATTTGTACACTTAGGAAAGAGTTAATACTATCAGTAATTAATTTTGCATTCTAGCAATAAACTATAATACTATTTATTTATTACATAAACGAGTCATAAACATATTTAAAAATTGCATAAAATAAAAAATTTTAACAATTAAATAGATAGTAAGTAAATCCTGTTTACGTATTTTTTAAATTTTCGAGAGAGATTTCAAAATTAAAATCTAGTGAGGGAAAAAGTATTTAAAAATTCGTATAAAGTTGTTTAGTATAAAGTATAAAGTTGTTTAGATAAGTTGAAAATGCTGAAGAACTTGAGTATCATTAAAAGAAAATTTAAATTTTACTGACATTAAAAAACAATTTAAAAAGACAAAAATTTTAAGAAGACTTTCGTAAAAATTACGGGATTATTATTTATTTATAGTCTCGTGTTGGGTAATTTTCCTCGTGTTGTAAAAGAAAAATATAAAATTGCAGCTCACAATAATTTCTGATCAAATAAATCCGAATCTAAATTCTGAATCAAACTAAAAAGAAATTCCAACATACTCCAAAATATATTTTACTTGTTAATTTTGACTTTTAGTGAATGCCTATAAATTTCCAAACGGAAAGTATTTTAAAATTGTAGATTCGTTCTTTCAACATCAAAATTATTTTCAAAAAAAGAAAAGATAGTAATATATACCTAAACTATGCCTGAAACTCAAGAATACTGTACATTTCTTATCAAAATGTAAATGTCTTAAGCAAGCGATACAAATCAGCTTTCTGGGAAATGAGTTTCATTGAAGAAACTGTTAAGGATTCTTGAATATATATGTATGTTATTCCGTATACTGCAATTA